AACAGTCATATCCAAACCAGGAAATTTTTAACTGTGAAAACTCTATCATTCATAAACTCTCTGAATTATAATAACAAAAGAAAGGCAGTGAATTCTTAATTGATATTGTAATCACGCAATTTATTTTACAATAAAGGAAAAAATTCTAAAAAACCTGAGACTTCACCACTGAATGGCGATTAAGAAAAAAATGGTTCTACACAATATCTTATAATATTTACTCTCTACATATTATTTACATTAATAAAACACCTGTTAACTGCTGTTGTTCCCAGGTTCACCCTGACCTGAGGTAGTAGCACCTGTTAGGGTCCCAGCTATGGAAAAATAGTTAACCCCCAAACTGGGGTCAAAACTCTATGAACGTATAAAAATTTTATAGTAAAAATATCAGTAATACATTTCATTGTAGAAAAGTTATCAACAATACATTTCTGTAAGGAAAAAAAATATTATCAGTAATATATTTTTGTAAAAAAAACACACACATATATATATATTATCAGCAATACATTTTTGTAAAAAATATTACCAGCAATACATTTTTTGAAAAAAGAATTACCAGCAAGACAATTTTTGTAAAAGAAATTAATAATGCTCCCAAGAAAATTAAATTTCAGCACTAAAAGACCCATAAGAAGTTGATATGCCACTAAACAAACAAACATTAATAAAAATTAATTTATTGTTAAATTTATTGTTCTTCAAATAACATAATTGTTTGTTTTCTAAAATGCAATCATTTAATAAGTATCCATTGATGGATAATGCTACAGATACAAATATATTCCAAAAATAATCAAGGAAAATATAACAATTATAACACAATTAACTCTTGAAAAATTAAAATGGCACACTTTCCTTTAGCTTTTTCCATATATATGACCATGAATATGGACTAGTGGTCATTTTTCATTGGTATATATATATATATATATATATATATATATATATATATATATATATATATATATATATTTTACACACACATATATATATATATATATAATCATGTTCACCCCATGCAAAGCAATAAAGCCACTAAGACACAAGGCATTACTGGATGTGGAAGAGTTAGAAACAGAAACATTGCTAAGGAATGAGAACAAAAGAGTAATCAGGAAGACAGTAGATAACAATTGACATTGCATTTAAATTTTTACAGATTAAAGTTGACTGGAAAGCATGGACCTTGGAAGGGAGTTCCACAAGGAAGATCGTGTGATAAAAGAAACTGTTAGCATAGAATTTATGGTAACATCTATCCAAATTAACTGTAAATTGGTCACCAGTCTAGTACTGTGCTTAAATCCAAGGAATCTAGGCACCATAGTGAATAGCTCATCTGGACAATTACATGAAGGTATTTATAGAAAAAGGCACAGAGATCCTATCAGTTTTTAAATCTTATCCTACTGTGCTTCATTTTCCTGTTTGCATTCACAAAAATAAAACAATTATACCTTAAATATCTGTCTATATCTCTGAGATGAGGTATTATGATTACTTAACATTATTTACATTATTTGGTCTCTTATCCTCATCTTCATTGCCATATTCATGTTTCGGCCATTGTACGCTCCAGCCTTCTTCAGGATATTGGAATTTTGAACCAAACCCTTTATTTCCTCCATCGAGGCAGATTGTTCTAGTTCTACATGCCATGCCTCTTCCAGATGTCTCTTTAACTTGACTGGGCCATTTGTCTCCTCAAGGACACATGTTCCAGTGGATAATGGCATTGGTTAGATTTAGTGACTAGACCCAAAGAGTTGTGAGTTCAATACCAGGCTACAGCAGTGGTGAACCAAAACTTGGAAAGTTGAGTTAAAGTGAAATAACTGAGACATCTGGAGGAGGCATGAAACATAGAACTAGAACAATCTACCACAGTGGATGAAATAAAGGGTTTGGTTCAAAATTCCAATATCCTGAAGAAGGCTGGAGCGTACAATGGCCGAAACGTATATATGGCAATGAAGATGAGGACAACAGTCCAAATAATGTAAATAATGTAAGTAATTATACGTTAATCAGTTAACAATCTATAGAACACTGCTTTATTATCACTGCTGTCCAGACACAGATTTGTTTCTATATTAAACCACTCAGCAATAAAAGCAATATACCCTTGTCCATTCACTCCTTCAAACTTACACAACCAAAAATATCATTATCATCATCATCATCATTGATTTTGTTTTTATCAACCTCATTTTCACCATTAATGTCATTATTATCATGTGTATCATCATCATTATCATCATCATCAAGGTGTTAAGTAATTAAGTAAAAATATATATTAAATTTGAATTGAAAAATGAAATGAAATATTAGAAACAGATTTGTTTCTTTTTCAAAATAAAAAAAAAATTGATTTCTTTTTGTTATTTACCCAAAATCTGTTGAATATACTTTATTCATTGTCTTGTTTTCAAGAGTGAAATGTTAGTTTTTTTTTTTTATCCTTAGTTCTTTAGTGTTCTTTCATGCTTCTTACAGTGGGTCTCATTAACACCACCAAAACCACCACCACCACCACCACCACCATTACACTACAGACTTTCAAGCTGGTTGTGGAAATCAACTGTATTCATACCATTGCATTATTATTCATTGTTTCTATTGATATAACTATATACATATATCGATAGAATATATTTCTATATGTATATAACATTCTTCAATTTCTGGTACATGATCATGTATTAACAAAATCTATTGCCAGTCCATATTTATTGAATTTCTTTGTGAATGCTCTGTAATTGTATAAATTTGTGACCTAATAAATGTTGACTGATGATAATGATGGCATCTATCGCAAATGATAATCTACTAAAAACTGAGGAATGTTTTTTTTTAAATATTTACAAACTTTGTGCCCAAGTAATTGATTACATCATAATTATATGTGCGTATGCATGTTGGCATGTATGTGTGTGTGCATGTGTGTGTGCATATACTTAATTACCATTAATATATATATATATATATATATATATATATATATATATATATATATATATATATATTTAATTAGCATAAAAAAAAAAAAAAAACACATCTATTGACAAAATTTAAAACTATGAGAAAAGGAGAAAAAGTGTATGAGTGAAAGAAAATGTTTGTGAGGCATGACATTTCCATGATTGGTACTGTATTAACTGATTGACTCAAACTTGAAATCCAAACTTCCCCATTTCCCTATTGCTTCTTAGCTTGTCCCACCCAATATGGCTTCTCACTGCCTGCATGTTGCAGAACAAAGTGCTACTCTTTTTTCAATTTTTTTTTACTGCCTTCTTACCTTTTGCATGATACATTTTATAAACTGTTTGGCTGCTTAAATTTTGCTACTGTGATTCCATTTTTTACAGTTTTTGTCTCATCTAAAATTTTTGCATGTCATTGTTCTATTTTCAAATCTATTTTTGGCAGCCATCTTGTATACCATCAGAAATGTGGAAACCATTTATCAACCATAGATAAATCAAAAAAAGAATTATCGTGCAAGTATTCTCTGGAAATTTAGTTTAATATTATATTTTTTTAATTGTGATTAATGATTACTATTATTTCAATAACATTCTGAGACTCATTTTTACCAGTACAATGAATTATGCATAATATATGTATTTTAGTAATATATTTATTGAGTTGTTTCCACTTTGTACAATAAATGCTTCATTCATTCCCAAATTATACATAAATTTGATGGTTTACTGAATTATGTTTTTAATTCTATTTTTGTATATTACTATACCTTTTACTCTTTTTACTTGCACATATTGATACAAATTTGATTGATTTTTCATCTGCCAAACAATAAAAAAGAGGAAATATGAAATAGGCTTCCATATTTTATATACTTACTTGATTTTAGTTGTTTTAACCAAATCAAAGAGTATTTAAACTTAATGCCCTTTCAAAGATGTTCTTCTTTCCATAAGTTAACATTATAATCAACCTTCCAGAGTTTAATTAATTTTTCCAGAAACATTAAAATTTGTAGCTTGGCATTATCTAAAGAATAACCAAAAATCTGTTTGTGTTTACTTTATTTGATCAATTTCCAGTAATTCAGTTTTGAAATAAAACTATTTTTTATGACTAGACTAATCTAATTTTATTCATGTCAAATGTTTTGCCAAATCCAGTGAGGTTTTCAGTAAAATAAAATTGCTTACTTGTCTATATAAAATTTATATATGAGAATTGTATAAAGTATAATTTTATCATTATAATTTGAGGTGGCACATGACTTCAGAGAAAAAAATCAATGATCAAACTAAGTTTAAAAAAACCTCATGTGATTAGAGCCATATTTTCAGACCCTATCAATAAAAATAAAGAAGTAACTGATCTTTTCAAGTTTTATTAAAATCCTGTTAACTGATTGAATTCAAGCAAAAATCTAATTGAAAGATTTTCTGATTGTTATCTGTGACTAACAAAACTTCCTTTTTGATTCAGTTTCCTTCTTGTTTCAAGTGATTGTTATTAAACGTTAATATGGTGTGTGAGAATTTCTTATAAGTTAATGTACCTTTGTTATTACCAAATTTATTAAAATGACATATTCCTTGTATTATTATTATTCTTAAAATTATTTTAGCTGAAAAAATTAGTCTTTTATAATATATTGACATCACGGAGAAATGAATAGAATTTATTATTATAACTGCTAGACTATTTTGCAACTAAAACTACATTAATGATAAATACTGATTAGCAGAAAATCAGTCTTTTTTAAATATTTATAGTTGATTCTAAACTAAATAACTTCCCTTTTAAAAAAATTACTAAATATTTTTTAAATAACTTCATCACAAAACGTTGCCCAAGTCATTACCAGGTTAAGGGGTTTTATTTATATTTTGCTTTGTATTCCGTATTTTACAAAACTTATTTTTATTCAATAAATAAATTGTAGTTTTGCTTTTAAAAGAAATGTAACTCATTATGTTTTTTTCTTTCCATTTTTTTCTTTTACATCACAGTTCAACAAAATTCTGAAGAAACCAAAATAGACTTACGGAATAATGACAAACAATCCAAAGTAAGTAAACTCAAACAGTTGTCTTTTAAGTTCAAATAATATAACTATTATGGTCACTTATTTATTTGATGTGATTCTAGGGTGCAGTTTCTCCAGACGCAATCCTTCCAGAAATTTACCATCTTTTATTTGTTGTTACTAAGTTATAATTTCATCCTAATCTGGAAGTGGGAAAAAAAATGAATTGGCACAAACCTGCTAGGAAATAGATTGTTAAAATGTTCTATAAATGCCTGTTTTCTAGTTAACATTATTGAAGCCCTAATATTGCAATTATTAATGAACACATGGTATTAGCTTAGATTTTAGAGCATTAACAGCCTTAAAAATACATGACTTTGCTTTAATAACATGCATATGCACATGTATGATTATATATACATGTGGGTAATCATGCTTTCAATTGCAAAAAAGATAAATGAAAAAGAAACATATTTAAAATCATTGCAATAATTATTCTCTCTCCATCTTTAATATCAAAGAATTTTATTCTTATTTAAACTATTAACCAAGAGAAAATCTATTAATGTCATGTGTTATATTACATGTTACATACGTATTCAAATTCAGTAGCCGTAATTTTCCATATCAGTTGTAATTGTAGTTAAATTTTTGAATTGACTATTTTTTAAAATAATAAAGCAGCCACACTTGGATAAAGGTTAACAATTAATAAAAGTGATAGCCTATATAAAGGGTGTTCCAATATCTTGGACCAATTTTAAATGTAAATTAAGTTTAAGTGTCTAATGATTTTTTTCTTTTTCTTTCAGATTTAACAACTTAAGTCTTTGGCAATTTCAACCATGGAAAGATTAACAATCAAACAACATATTAATGTTATCGAAGCCTATTACAAAAATGGACATTCAAACAAAAATGCATTTTGCGCACTTTGTGATTTTTTTGGTCAACATAATCGACCAAACAAGAGTGCAATTGGAAATGATATAACATTGTTATGGAGAGGTTCAATTCCTGTGCGTGATGACCAATAGAGGTGTCTAGATTTTTGGCCACATTCTTGTGCACTGCAGCAATGTTTTCAGCTGAACAGCTTAAACGAGCACAAAATGGTGTTTTCACATCTGCCACCGGCCCAGTTTGTTTGAATTTACAAACAATTTTTCCAATTGCACTCTTGAAACTTTAACATGTTGTTTGATTATTAATCTTTCCATGGTTGAAATTGCCAAAGACTTAAGTTGTTAAATCTGAAAGAAAATGAAAAAATCATTAGACACTTAAACTTAATTCACATTTAAAATCAGTCCAAATAATTAGAACAACCTTTATTTCTATCTTGAATCATTGATCATTTTTTTTCATTATATCTCAAAAATCTCTTAGATAGTAGCAAACTCAAAAGGCTCCTATGTTTTATGCTCAAGTATTAGCATTTTTAGCATTTAAATACAAATTATACTTATTCACATTGTGTGCAATAAGTAAAAACAATTTAGGTTTATCTTAACTAGGATACCAATAACCAAATATGGTACCAAGTATATTGATGTACCATTAAAAGCATATTAATGTACCATTAAAAGCATATTGGTGTACCATTAAAAGCATATTGATGTACCATTAAAAACATATTGGTGTACCATTAAAAGCATATTGGTGTATCATTAAAAGCATACTGATGTACCATTAAAAGCATATTGGTGTACCATTAAAAGCATATTGATGTACCATTAAAAGTATATTGATGTGCCACTCCTTTATTTCATATTTAAAATTTTGGTGCGGATTCTTTATTGCATTTATTATTTTGTTATTTTCATTTTATTTTTGTAGGACGGAATGATTCTGGAAAATAATTGCAACAATGACAGTTTGGCAAGTCTCGGTTCACTAGGGAGCATCCCAGACATAATGGATGGCTCCAGTGTAGAAGATGATATTTCTTCGTGCCAGCAAAAAGACATCCAACCATGTCTACCACTTTTTATTTCCTCAAGGTAATAAAAAAAAATGCATTGTTATCTTTGAACAAATCATAAACTACATTCAATTGATTCTACTTTAAGTTTTCTGTTTCACTTTTATTAGCTTAAGCCTGGATAAGCTGATATTAATAAAGCCTATCAATAAACATCAGCTCATATTCAAACAGAACATATATACATCATAACATTATTTAATTATCTATGGTGATAGTTTGTTTTTTTTTTTAAATAGGCAATATTTTGTGCATCTGTGTGTGGGAAAGAAAGAAAAAGAAAACTAAGAACAAGCACTTTTTACCTTTATATTCCAAAGCTTTAGGTGTTGACTCTAATTATCAGATGGAATTATTTGTTTGGTTACCAGTGACATGCAGAGGTTTGGTGATGCTCAGGGCCAACTCCTTGATACTTTACCTCTAAAACTCAAGTAGGGAGGGGCTTATAGGGCCTTCTACTGAGAAATGTGAGAAAGAATGACTTTTTAAATATGTAAAAATAGATGAAACATGAAATAAACAATTTATTCAAATTAAATATAAACTAAATTTTTATTTCACTCTTTGATTGAAGACCCACCCTATATGGATGCCCAACACTGTTACACCTTCTGCCTACCCTTCTGGTTACCATGGTGTCAACATGGTGGTAAAAATCAAAGATTTATTAAATCAATTATTTAAAATTAACCCTTGTTTATTTTAAGGGACCTTTTACCTTGGAATTAAAATGCAGTTATTTTTTAAGTTGAAGCAGTCATTTTTATTTAAGCTTGATAAAAATATGTATCCATGTACACAAATCTCTTAGAAATAAATCAAAATGAATTACACATACTCAAGATAATATTAATCTACATTATAATTTGTGTTTTTCTAGCATGTACCATAGTTAAATTTTGCTCAGTGTATGTAAGAGAAATTCTTCAATAATAACAAAAATGTCCTTAAGTTGCCTTAACCAAGGTCCATGCAGAACTACAAGGTGTCCAGTAAAACAGTGGCAAATTTATTATCACTATTTTATCTTTCAGGAATAATTGACCTTGAATAAATTACTTGAATATTCAAGACCTTGAATAATCATTCAGTTCTCACATAATTACTTAACTCTGATTGGTTCTTTTATGATGAGTCATCGTTTAAAAGTTATTTGCAGACAACTTTTGTCTTTCGTTCTGCCTTTCACGTATGACTAAACAACTCACTGATTTTGAGTGTCGAGTTATCATATTTTTCAAAGAATAATATCCTGCATGGGGATTAATGAAATGTGCAAAAATTCTTCCTGAATTTTTCAGTCACATCAGTTGTCACCAGTTTTCAACAGTTGTCTCACATCTTTCTGAATTTATCGCTTTTTCGCTGGGCACCCTGTAGCTGATAAATTTGCTGGGCACCCTGTAGCTGATAAAATTCACATTCTACAAATATATCTAGTGTATGTGCATAACCTTTAGATGAATATTACAGTTGTGGTCTTAAAAATATGTATTAACTCCAGTGAAAATTTAATACTTTCTTCTTTTATGTGCTATGCCCCTTCAGGATGTAGATGATCATGGCCCTCCACATCTTCCTCTCCCTTGTAGCTCTTAATAAGTTTTATCTTTTTGTTATTTCTCCCAAACTCTGTTCTACCATCCATTTGCTCAAGCTCATTAAGTACATTATGTGCTGCTTTTCTTTGTCCCACTTTCCCACAATCTGTCCTTTGAGTATCAGGTTTTTCAAGCCCTCATTATATGCCCTAGAAATTTCAACTGCCTCTTCCTGATGTCAAGTATAATTTCCTTTTTGTTTCCATTTTCTCTAAAATTTTGTTGTTGCTCACATGTTCAATCCATGGTATCCTCAGAATCTTTCCTTAGAACCACATTTCTGTTGCTTCTACTTCATCTTTGAGGAGATTGTCCAGCTTTCACTGCCATACAGGAGGACAGATATCATATAACATTCCAGTAATCTCTAAAAAAAAAAAAGCCACTTAAAACAGCATTTCATGAAGCACATCCACATTTAATAGTAAAATCCTGGTCTTGAGTTTCAGGGTCATTAGCACAGTGAATAACAGGTAAATTCTGATGGAATCTCAGCTTCTATATACATTAACAAATATATACACTATATATATAACTTGGTCAAGTAAGAAATATGTTAATTTGAATATGATAACAAAAATAAAGCCATTAATCCAATAGTGGCTCTCTACAGAAAATAATTTTTTTTTTCTCTCTTTGATTCAGATTTAAATGTCTTCGGGAATTTGATGATACATCACATGGCAAGAAATGGAATAATTTTCGACGCCAGCTGATGATGGTGTGTGAGAATAAATATTTTGAAACCGGAGTTTTGGTGATGATTTTTGCAAGCAGTATTTTGTTGGTACGTAAATTTTTTGTAAAGAAAATTTTGTTGAGGTTTTAATCTTGTAGTTGGGGATTGAGAACTTCTTTGTAGCTACATCAAGAAATAAAAAAACTTAATTGTAAAACATCATTTCACGACTTCTGGCATTCTCAGAGGGTATTTGAATATCTCTAGAATTGAACATACTTAAGAAGAATGCCTGATAAAACAAAATACTTTGAACTTGCCAACTTTAAAAAGTTGTAAGTCACTTATGTTCCAAGATTTATAATCTGTGATGAACTAGTTCAATGGTCTGTGTCACCAATATGGTTTATTCTAATAGTAAGTATTTGGGTGAAGTAAACAAAGTTATTTATTTTGCCTTTTTTAATTTTCAAAAAATATCATCAAATATTCTCCAATTGAAATATTCTCAACAAGTGAAAAAGACTTGTAAAAACATTTGTAAATGGGTGTTCACTATTAAAACAAGAAATTGTTTAATAACTGAATAAGAGAAAATTGCCAGGTTTTGAAAGATAAAACAGTGTTGTAATATAAAAAAAAGATGTCAGTAGCATTTGATATTCTGAGATAAAAGGATTGAGTTTATAAGTGTTCAAATTTTTTCTGAAAAGAAAATTTTCAGTAAATGAAAATCCATCTAGCAAAAGAAGAATTGTATATGTTTGTAATGTAAAATATAATTTAACTCAGTAGAATTGTCATAGTTCCATGTTCTTTTGATGAGAGTAGTTTTTAATTAAGTATGTTTTCAAATATAAATTCAAAATTGTATATTGACTAGAGGTTGTGTGGTGAATAGAGACATTTTTACTCATCAATGTGGAAACAAGATACAAAAATCTGCCTGATTTGTCACTAAATTAGTATTTTCTTTCTTGTATTCTAAGATATCATGAATAGTTAATATAGTTAGCATTTGTTTTTATTCATTCCAAATATAAATTGATGGAATTTGTTACAAACTAATTCTTATTCAATATTAACAAAATTTATATACAAGGAAGTGCTAAAAGTTCTAATATTTGTTTATATGCTCATATTTTGGGAAGAACCAAAAACATTTTAGCACCTACTCATAAAAATAGTTAGGTTAGAAAATAGAATTCTAATAAGGATATTATATTCAAAATCATAAAATAAAGTTCAATCCCAGTTCTTTTTTGATAACACTGTCCAATAAAAAGTAATCTTTTAATTTGGATTTTAATTATTGTATTTAGAATCAGTTTAAATGTAGTGAAAAACTATTATTATTTTGTAAATTACTCCACTACAGGACGTTTTTTTATTGACCTTCAGAATATTTTTTCTATTCCAGGCATTTGAGGATATTTATTTGAACGAGAAGCCTCGATTGAAGTTAGCAATTTTTTATCTGGATATTACCTTCTGTTTGCTATTTTTTCTTGAAATGGTTTTGAAACTTGTAGCTCTTGGATTTGTTCATTATTACACCCACTTTTGGACAATCCTTGACTTTACTATTGTTATTGTAAGTATTATTTTTTCTTTATTTACTTTTAACTTGCAATAAGGTAACTATTTATATTGTACCAGATCTTATTATGCAAGTCAACATCTACACAATAAAATTGATGTTAACTAACTGATGTTGGTAAAATTTTCAGCATATATTTATATGATAAATATATATGAAATTTCAAATTATACTGTTTTAATTAGAAATATTTACAATAAATTATTTAGTGGCATGAGAATTTGTTATGGAACTCAACTGTTGTTCAGAATAATATAAATAAATATATAAAATAGCACCTTTATTGATATTTATTTTAAAATCATAAATATACATAGATTGTCATGGATCATAAGAAAGATATAACCTCAAAAAAGGAAATGATATTTTAAAGTGATTGGGTAATGGGAACTCAGCATATGAAATTGTTAAATACTTGAACAGAGATCATAGAACAATCAAAAAAGAAATAAAGAACACTAGCAAGATAAGAACAAGACAAAAATGGCTTTAAGAATGTGACAAAAAGAAACATGAAAAAATAAAAGAGGATTAAACAGAAAGAAAATATTTGAAGAAGCTGGTGATTTAAATATAAACAGAGAGAAAAAAGCCAAGATATTAAGAAGATTAAAGTCATGAAAGCAACTACCATTTTGAAGTAAAAATCACAAATAGAAATGTGTAAATTAGGTGAAGTACATGAAAAGTGATTTCACAACACGAACTTTTAAAGATGAATATAGAGCTACATTGGATGGATCTGAGATCAGGTTCTTCATGAAAATAGTCACCCAGTAGAACTTAGAAAATATTCAGAGTTGAAAACAGAATAATGTATTAAGCTAGTATTGTAGGCAATAAAACTGTAGGTTTGTTCAAAATTGATAATGGACTTCAAGATAAATGCAAAGAATTATTGTACACTCTTGAACAAGACATCTTTTCAGCTTCTACAGGACACAACCAAGAATAGTAGCATTCTTCACATCCAGAAAAGCTGATCACGGCTCATTTTGCCAAAAAGGTTTCAAAGACATCAAATTAATAGAATGTCCTCTAATCTTTCCATCATTGGCAGAACTTGTTGTCAAGTATTGGGTGCTCATAAATATTTCCTTCTGTGTGAAAAGAGTCCTATGTTAAATGTGAAGAGATATCCACAGCCACCACATGGTAGGGTAGGAGGGTTTGGGGGATGGAGAACTCTTTTCTTTGGGGCACTCTTTGTCTCTTCTATTTGTCTTCTGGTGTTTTCAAAGGATGTTGTTTTTTCGTGGACTGCTCTTCTCCAATTGATTCTTTCTGCAGCTTCTGTCTCTTAATTGACCAGATTGATTTCTGTCCTCAGCAAGCTGATTTTGAACTGATCCTTGAATCAACAATGTGAGGCTCCACATGTCCTCTTGCAAGATGCAAGCTCTGAGAAGAGGATTAGTTTGGGTAAGTGGATGTCAGGCATCCAGCCCATTGAATTCAGTGGTGGATCATGATGGTTTCTAAGCTCTCCATCTTTTCACAGAAGAGAACTTTGTTGTTTGTGATCTGGTCCTGCCATGTATTCCACAGGATTTGACAAAGTTTCATTTGATGGAATCTTTCAAGATTGCAGATATCTCTTCGGTAGAGATTACAACAGCTCAGTAGACTGTGAGCTTAGTAGTTTGTGTTAGTGTAATGGTAACTTACCTCAGCGACCCAAAAGGGCCAGAGTCATGTGTATGTTTTTGCAAGGGAGTGTGGAGACAGCCATTTTTATTGGCTGGTTCTGGGTGCTCATTGGCTGAGTGCTGGCTGGATCAGATGTATAAAAACATAGTACGCTCATTTAACAGGTGTTTGTTTTTTTTTGCTGGGGGGGACAGTGAGTGGTATATTAGAGATTGAAGCGAGAAGTGTGGATTTGTTTTGCCTAGTGAACCTATTGGACTCATACTACTTTTCTTTTCCTGTGTGCTTCCAACCAATTTTTGTAACAATTAGCCCAGAATTGCTGAAGACCCTTTTGAATAGTTTCCCATATACTGCATGGGTGGCCTTTATTCAGTTATTAACATCTTTTTCAGTGAATGCATTTGATGTTAGTACCCTACCAAGTTATAGAAATTGTTCAACATTCTCCAGGTCCAGTCCATTGATGGTGATTTTGACTCCAGGTGGTGGTTGATTTCCTGGTTATTGTTGTCAATTTGTCACATTGATGGTGAGTCTGTAGCACATGTATGCTTTGGAGAAGTTGTCCACTGAGTTCTAGAGGTCTTCAATTCATGGGCCAGGGATTCATTTGTCATCAGCATAGTGGAGCTCTGTGACTCATGCTTTTGTTGTTAAAGTCCTAGACCAGACGTGAGTAATTTTGAAGAGGTTGTCATCAGTGCAGTATCAAAGGCCAATTCCAAGATTGTCATCTGGAATCTCTTAAAGCATTGCCACCAAGTAGATGAAGAAGAGTGTAACAGGAAAAGAGATCCAAAAGGCCTGTTTGATCCAATAGAAAACTTGTGATCTATCATTAAAAGAAATGTATATGAGAATGGAAAACAATATTCATGCAAAGAAGGCTTATAGATTATTCCCATTTTTGTAAGGTGGCAAACTCAGAAAATCAGCAGATGAAATATTTATTTATCCCGCTGTATGCTAATGAAAATTATGATTTTGTTTTAAAAGGAAAAACTGTTTTCTATTGATTTGAGTAACACTTGATTTTTCCATTATTAAAATGTCTGTCTTGTAATTTTTATGTTGTTCACCTTCTGAAGAATTTTTGTATTTACAAGGGAGGATCTAAAAATAATGCTTCTTGCTTATTCCCAAGGAAACTACAATAGGTACAAGGAGCATAATAACAGAAATGAATTGAGTCGGTTTTCAACTACAAAACATGTAGGCTCTACCATTGGCTTTGCATTTTCAAGACATTCTTCATTTTGTGGGTTTACAACTATGCAGGACTACCCATCACATAGATCCCTGTCATAATCACTGTTATATGCTATTATAAGTCATCTTCTGTTCAGGTACTCTGAGCATCACATCCAGGGCACAAAACAAATCTCTTCAAAAAATATAAAATGGAACATAAAAGAAGCCAATCATGAACATTGCTGCAAGAGAAAAAACATGAATAAAAGATGAGTCTAGGAGCCACTACAACTTTCTTTTAAGAAAGCTGCTCATAAACAACTGGCACAGATTTGCAGACAACAGCAAGCTTCACTTCCACTCCAGGCCTCTCTCAACATCACCACTGTGACCTCAGTCAACCAACCTGACAAACGTATCAACTCCAGGCTTTAAAAACTCTGCCCTTCCTTCAAAAGCCGCCTCCCTTGCCTACATTAGTGACATTCCACTAACATCGGCAATACAAAAGAATTTTATATTTACAAGTCTTGTCTTCTTTTCCTTTCACCTCACTGGCAGTATTTTTGCTTCATTTGTTCTTCCATGCTACCATTCACATGTTTATAACATCACTGAAATACATTATCTGCTAACTAGTTGTTCTAGTTTTATCTCTGTAAATATTAAGCAAATATTGATAAATGTCAATGGGTGCAATTTTTTTACCACATAAAGGGATCCATAAAACCATTATTTGTCTGAAGAAGTTGCTTTTTTCAGAACAAAACACATCAATACACATTTTATCATTTATTTACTCACTGTTATTCTGATATATTTTTATCCTATTTTTCATACATACATATATATATATATATATATATATATATATATATATATATATATATATATATAATATAATATAAAAGGCTCAAACACTAATATTCCATGGTTATAATTTATTACATTGGAATCATAATCAATATATATATATATATATATATATATACCAATGACCAATGATATTATATATATATATATATATATATATATATATATATATATATAAAGTTCTATAAGTTCATTGATTACAGTATATCAGTTTGTTTTAAAAGTTGCAATATTCCACTGTTATAAATATAAATACTGATAAAATAAAACACAATTATTGTACTTCCTTGTTATTTTTAATAGAAACATTTTCATGATTTTATCTTTCTAACCACTAAAGTAACAACTTTGTGTACTTTAGTCATAACACCTTGCTAATGTGTTTTCTTTTATATCTTATATATAAAATATACAGTGTCACTTGAAAGCTTATGAAACCTCCCTAGGCATGATCATTATTATTGTAAAAAAAATTTAAAATAAGCCTATTAAATGCCCATCCAAACATGAATTTGTAAAGTAGCCTTATTTTGAATTTTTTCACAATAACAATGTCCATGCTCTGGGGAGAAAAATCACAAACTTTCAAGCAGCACTGTATGTAAATGTATTGTTTTTGTATAGGTGTAGATTATTATTTAATAAGCCAGATTCACAAACTGCTTATATTAGATAATTGTAATGGCAATAAAAATGCTTCAAGATATGACTTGTAATGTTTGTCTATATTTCTGAGATGAGGTATTGTAACTATTTACATTATTTACATTGTTTGGACTGTCGTCCTCATCTTTATTGTTATATTCATGACGTTTCAGCCATTGTACGCTCTGGCCTTCTTCAGGTGATATACATTGGAATTTCAAACCAAACCCTTTATTTAGTCCATGGGGAGTAGATTGTTCTACACATGGGCCAGTGGATAAAAGCATTGGTTGAAGTAATCCAGTGACTTGACTCAAAGAGTTGTGAGTTCAAAAATTGAACAAAAATTTGGAGAGTTGTGTTACTAAACAGAATTAACTGAAAAATGAAATATCCAGAAAAAGTGTGACACGTGAAACTTGTTATGGTCCGGTTCCTTGTACCACAGTGATAGTCCAAGGTAGAACCAATAAAGAAGAACTCGAACATAGATATGGAATAACACAGATATATTACAAACAGGAATATATACAGAGAAGTAGAAAATGTTAGTATGAACAATCAGGTTTAGTAGGGAGAACAATGTAGTCTCGACCAGTATCACTATTCCAATGTTTTGCAGTAATTGTCAGAACGCGACTCTGTTTCAGACTGCCTCTGACTTAACTGACTGACTCGCTCGCTCTGACTGACTGACAGACTCCTGACGGATTTCTGACAGACCTCACTCCAGACTTCCGACTGGACGGTATTTAGTCACCCCCCCCCCCACGAGGGCATCATGTGGCACAAGGCTGGTTTAACGTGGGATCTCTGAACCCGTAGGATCTCCGAGCCCGTGGGCTCAGCCAAAAATATGCCCTTTGAACCCGTATAAACAGGTTCAGGGTTGGTTTTCCTCCTCAAAATAGACTCCGCTCTCGGCATAGCCTCATTCGGGTTCCTCCCCGCCCGAAGGCAGAGAGTTCAACCAATCAGCCAATCGCCCGACTTCAGGCTGAACTCCCTGCTTCCTCTTGAGGCACAGTATTTATTACGTATGGAATTGTCATTATGTTATTATGGGTAAGGTCCCATAACAAAACTATAACAGTCTACCCCTGTGGTCTAATTAAAGCTTTCGGTTTGAAATTCCAACACATTTCACCTGAAGAAGACTGGAGCATACAATGGCTGAAACATTATGAATATGACAATAAAGATGAGGACAATAGTTCAAACAATGTAAATAGTGTAAATGGCTTATAATATTGGAATGGTAATTTAGTATGATGATATTAACCAAAGCAAAGCATTTTATTATTTAATTTTCTTTTTGTTACATTAAGAATCTTTGTAAAATGAATTGAATGAGCAAGTAAATTGTTTTTATTTAACTCTACACACAATGAACACACACCCACCCAACCCACACACACTCATATATAGACACATATATATTTATGTGTACATATATAGAAAGAGAGAGATTTTGTCTGAGGATCACAAAAGCATGAAACACAGGGTTACAAACTTACATCCATACAACTAAGTATATACATATATATACAGGGTGTCCATAAAGTTCATGTTCACTTTAAAAAATTTATAACTTTATTTGTATTTGTAATAGAAATAATCTGTAAAAAATGTTATAAAGTTTAATGTACCTAGTTTTAAGTATAGCTAAAATAACTAATGTGATTTCAGGCATTACTGTAAATCAGTTGGCAAATGTTTTCCGTGAACTGCAAAATCGTATTACCCTTTCTGTTGCTAATGATGGAGGACATGTAGAAACTTAAATAAAATTTCAATAAAACCTTAAAAAATACAGATTTACTTCTTTCTTGCACACGAACTTTATGGACACCCTGTATATATCTATATATATATATATATATATATATATATATATATATATATATATATATACAGTGTATCACAAAAGTGAGTACACCCCCTCCTCACATTTCTTCAAATATTTAAGTATATCTCTGGGACAACACTGACAAAATGACACTTTGACACAATGAAAAGTAGCCTGTCTGCAGCATATATAACAGAGTTAATTTATTTTTCCCTCAAAATAACTAAAAATATAGCCATTAAAAGCTAAATCCCTGGCAACAAAAGTGAGTACACCCCTTAGGAAAAGTTGTCAGTATTAACATACAACACAGGTAGTCACTGGAATGCTCTTCCACTCCTCAATGACGACGTCGCAGAGCTGGCGGATATTTGAGACTCTGCGCACCTCCACCTTCTGCTTGAGGATGGCCCAAAGATGTTCTATTGGGTTCAAGTCTGGAGACATGCTTGGCCAGTCCATCACCTTTACCCTCAGCCTCTTCAGTAAAGCAGTGGTTGTCTTGGATGTGTGTTTGGGGTCATTGTCATGTTGGAACACTGCTCTGCGACCCAGTTTCTGGAGGGAGGGGATCATGCTCTGCTGCAGTATTTCACAGTACATGTTGGAGTTCATGTTTCCCTTAATGAAATGTAACTCTCCAATACCTGCAGCACCCAGACCATGACATTCCCACCACCATGCTTGACTGTAGGCATGACACACTTATCTTTGTACTCCTCACCTGGTCGCCGCCACACATGCTTAAGGCCATCAGAACCAAACAAATTAAATTTCGTCTCATCAGACCATAGGACATGGTTCCAGTAATCTATGGGCTTTGTTGACATGTCTTCAGCAAACTGTTTGCGGGCTTTCTTATGTATTGCCTTCAGAAGAGGCTTCCTCCTGGGGTGACAGCCATGCACACCAATTTGATGTAGTGTGCGGCATATGGTCTGAACACTAACAGGCTGAATCCCAATCTCTTTAATCTCTGCAGCAATGCTAACAGCACTCCTACGCCAATCTTTCAAAGAAAGCATTTGGATGTGACGCTCAGCACGTGCACTCAACTTCTTTGGACGACCTACCCAAGGCCTGTACTGAGTGGACCCTGCTCTTTTAAAATGTTGGATGATCTTAGCCACTGTGCTGCAGCTCAGTTTCAGGGTGTTGGCAATCTTCTTGTAGCCTTGGCCATCTTTATGTAGTGCAACAATACGTTTTTTAAGATCCTCAGAGAGTTCTTTGCCATGTGGTGCCATGTTGGAACTTTCAGTGACCGGTAAGAGAGAGTGTTAGAGCTGCACTACAAATTTGAATACATCTGCTACCCATGAACACATGGGCATAGTTACACTAATGAGTCACATGACATTTTGGAGGGAAAATGAAAAGCAGTACTCAATTTAGACATTTAGGGGTGTAGTTTCTTAGGGGTGTACTCACTTTTTAGGGGTGTAGTTTCTTAGGGGTGTACTCACTTTTGTTGCCAGGGATTTAGCTTTTAATGGCTATATTTTGATTTATTTTGAGGAGAAAAGAAATTAACTCTGTTATATATGCTGCAGACAGACCACTTTTCATTGTGTCAAAAGGTAATTTTTTCAGTGCTGTCCCATGAAGAGATATACTTAAATATTTGAAGAAATGTGAGGAGGGGTGTACTCACTTTTGTGATACACTGTATATATATATATATATATATATATATAAAACCAAATACACTTTTTTTTACATGTTAATATATTATTTTATTGTAATTTGCAGATAACTGTTATAAGTTTGGCGGCATCAGGTTTGGGTATGGAACAAATTACTGCTTTCAGATCCCTAAGAACACTGCGTGCACTGAGACCCCTTCGAGCGGTTTCACGATGGCAAGGAATGAAGGTAAATCTTTTTGTTGCATTCCTATTATGTATGTATTCTTCATTAAACTCAATTATGTCTCTTTTAGATTAGTTGCTTCTAAATTTATAATTACTTTGTATTATATTAAATGGTCTGATCAAATATGTCAGATCATGAATGATTCCAATCTGTTTTGTCTTAAAAACTAATTGATCTTGATCACAAAGATGCAATTTATAAAAGATTAGTGTTTGATACATCAAATGATTTGAATCTAAAAGTCACAAAATTAATTGATATTATGAAACTAATTACCAGTTAATTCATTGAGCATAACCCTGAAAATAAGTACTGTTGTCTGCTTTTCTTAATTTTTAAAACACAGTTGTTTGTGCTTATGTGCAGAGAGACAAAATTTTTTCTTTCCAAGAATTCATTCATTAAATAAAATTACTATGAAAATGTTCTTGCTAAATTTCTTTATTCACTGTGTAAAATATAAACCAAAAATCTTAACAAGTCATGACATGGCAACTAAGGAACAGTCTTCTTCTGTGTGCCATGTCAATTCAGGACTCTCCACAACTTCCTGTCTCTTGTAGCTCTTAGAAATATTTACCTTTTGCTATATCTCCTAATCTCTGTTCTGCCAACCATTTACATCGTTAGGTAGTTTATTCACTGCTTTCATCTGCCACTCTTGCCTTTAATATGTCCTGTAAGTGTTATATTTTCCAAGCTCTCTTTCTTTATTATATGCCCTGAAATTTTCAATTTTCTCTTTACCACATTGAAAAATCATGGACAGCTAAGATAAAGATGTTAATCCAAACAAATAATAATTTGTTGCAGATAGTGTTCTTTGCTCAAGTAAAAGCAACCCAAATTTTCACATGTAAATAAGGGGTTGTCAGAAGATGCGGAGGTAAAAAGAAATGGAATGTATGTGGAATGAGTGAAAGGAATAAATTTCAACATGGAGATATTTCCTTGTATTTTTATACAAATTAATAAAGATCAGCAAAAAGAGAGAATAAATATTAGTGTGTACACAGCTGAAAAGGAAGAAAAGACATTAAACATTGCTGTTAGGAAATGTCTGCATCTGTGCATATGTGTATGTAAAAGAGAGAAAGACATTATTGCTAACAGGTTCAAGTCTTGTATTGGTGATACTACTTACTGTATGCCTGGTTGAAAGTAAGAAAAAGAGAAAGAGGAAAATATGTTTGTCTTTTTATAATATTAACAGCATCTTGGCAGACCAAGTGGGGGGGGGGGGTGACCCCACATACTAAAATGCATGCTTGTGATAATGATGCGAATTAATTTTAGTTACCAGAGCTGTCAAACTCCCCACTCAAAATAAAAACTACTTTCATAAGTATTAAAATTTAATGAATTTCTGCTTTTCTAGTAAAAATAAACGTATATTTTATTTAAAAATAAACACTATATTTACTTATATAAAATATTCTTTTGCATTGCAGATTATCGTCAATGCTTTGATGCTTTCTATCCCTTCCATCTTTAACGTCTTGTTGGTGTGTGTGGTGTTCTGGCTAATATTTGCCATTATGGGAGTGCAGTTATTTGCGGGAAAGTTCTACAAGTGTGTCAATGAGACAAACATGAGAATCCCTCCAACGGAGGTGGCCAATAAGATTGAGTGTTATAACAAAAATTATACGTGGGTGAATTCCAAAGTTAACTTCGACAATGTAGGAGGAGCATTCCTTGCTTTATTTCAAGTGGTAAGTAAGCTTTCTTCAGCATTCTTCCCGTAACTCTTATCCAATAATCAATATGCAACTTAATCTTAACATATCCTGTTTCGGTTTTTTTTTTTTTTATAATCTTTTTTTTAATTTAGCCAAAAGTGGAAAATATGATATTTGTACATTTTTTGATAAAAATAAAAGAATTTACATGTTCTCAATTTTTTTCTTCCATTTTCAAATCTACAATTCTATTCTCTTCAATCTTCATAGAAATTTCAAATATTCTGTGCATTTCTAATCAGATTTAAATAAATTCATGAAGACACTAAATATTCACCATCAAATTATAACACCTGGACAATTTAAAATTACTGGACCATATAAAACATGAAGACTCTAAAAATTCATAAATATAAAAGGGTAATGGTAATATTAGCTGTTTCCTTATAAGGAAACATTTGGCATTTATTGGTTGAGAAGCCACTACTACTTTCAGCTGAAATTCATCTCTTAAAACAATTTTTTAAAAAATGGGTTTCTCAAGTGCAGTAATTGCTACTGCCCTTTCCAGTATTGATGGGAGTTTCTTTCTTAACTTTTTGTTTGAAGTAGTCTGGAATGTCAACCTATTGATTGTATCATTATTTTCTCTTCATGTTACATGTGCTATCTATTTTAGTTGTTACTGTTGAAAGTCCAGAGGTTATGTTTTCTGTTATTTGAGACAATCCTTTGTTCATGATTCTGTAGTGCTAGTCCACAAGTTTTGAAGAAAAGTGGTCCTCACTAAGAGCTACTGACTTCAATCACTCAAAGCCATTTTTAACCATTGATCTGAGAAAGTGGCTATAGACAGGCAACAGTTTAGATATTTCTAGACAAGTTTGGCGCCATGCCTGACATCCATATGAAAGTCTTGATCTGATGAGGTTATTTAAGAACATGACTCAGTTTTTTAGGTTAATGTTTTGGTTTTGTAGTAACTAGCGGTGATGAGCAAAACTACCTCTTGTATAGCCTATTCTATGTTCAATTTCCTTATTACCTATAATAAATTTGTTATAATTGATCCATAAACTAAAGTATTTGAAGTGTTTAGCATTTACTAATTCTATACCCTGAATTTTTATAAGTGATTCAGGATAGGTATCATTACTGCTTTCATTCCAATTGCAGATCATAGTTTCTGTTTTGGAAAAGTTTATCTTGAGTTCTATTTCTTGGAACACTTAGTAAAGAATGTAGATTTTTTTTTGTTCAAAATCATTCTTATCGCAACTTGTCTCCATCTTATGTATATTTTGGTGCTATGTATCTTTGAAAGAGGTGTGATGATTAATTTTTGCACGTTTGCATAATATACTAATGAATGACCCAGGTTTTAAAACCTAAATTGAGGACATTTTCCCAGAAAATTCAGATGTTCTGGAAACCCTAGAAAATCTGGTCAAAATTTGAGTTCTAAACCTTATTTCATGTGTATTATGTGTCTGTGGTGCCTTTTTAAAATAATTTTATGTATGTGTTTGAGTGAAAATACATTTTTGTTTAGAAAGACACAAGCAATCAATGTATGTTGAGGCTAATAAGTAAGTATGAATCAGTGCAATAAAAGAACAGGGATACTCACCTGATAGTAGGTTTGCATTTATGTATATCTCTATTCATGTATATGAATAAATATATGTATTTGTCAATACTCATATTCATACAATCTTTTCAAGAAAATTTCTTTTCTAATAATAACAAAAGTCACTCAACCTGATTATTTCTCAAACAAAATTACATCGGCCCTCCAGATCCTTTCGCATTTGGTATGCTAATGGCATATCTATACTTCCTTGTCTCTTTTTTCTCATTATCAATAAAATCACTTTGTTTTATTTCCCCAAAGGCTACATTTGAAGGATGGATGGAAATCATGGCAGATGCGGTAGATGTAACCGAGGTAAGAAAAATGCTTATTCATCTTGAGCACTTATTCACTTATTACTACTTATATCTATGACTTATTAATTTTGATTGTATGATAGAAAGATCATGCTAAGATATATTAAAAATATGTTTCTGAACAGTAATAGAAGTCATAGTTTTACCAGGTAAAACTCCAGTTTTTAAACTCATAAATAAATTAAAAAAAACTGACTAATATTTAAACAGGACAATTGTTCTACTTATTGCAAATATTTGTAAAGCACATTTATTTTCATGAGCTGTATTAAAATTTATTTTTCATTAAAACCTAACAATTTTTTAAGCAAAGTGGGGTGACAGAAAGTGAATGTGAAAGAAAAAACTAGGTATAGGGGTGATTAAGAAAAAGATAACAGATGAATGGGGATCAAGGCAACAAAAGATAACAATTGACATTACAGTTAAATTTTTGATAATTGTAGTTCTCAAGGTAGCAAATAAGAGGAAGGGAGTTCCACTGCTGGGAAGTGTGAGAAAAGAAACTGTTGGAGTAGAAGTGGCAGTTACATTTAATTATTTTAACAGTAAAAAAGTGGTACCTAGATGACAATCTGGTAGCATGCTTAAATTCATGTAGTCAGGGTGCCAGAGAAAAAAAGCTCATCATAGCAGTTGCCATGAAAATATTTATAGAAAAGACAGAGGGAAAACATGACTGAAGCCAAGATGCCAAATCAAGATCAATTATATTGCAGATACTCTTTCGAATTTTGTTGAGAATCTCAAGAAAAAATTTTGTTGAGATGATATGGGATATCAGAATAATTTAAGGGCTTTAGATAACTTATAAGAGAAATTTAAGGATCAAATCTGTTGATTATAAGTTTTGAAACTTATTTATAAATATATTTTAATAAAAAGATCATTTTACTTTGATAATTTCCTTTTTAAAACTGGCAGATTGACTGACAATCTGAATCTATACTTAATCAAATCAGAAATTTGTGGAACTTGCACTCTTTGATATTTGGAAATATCTAATTCCACAAAGCAACTAGCTATCAGTTCTTAGTTACAGAAAGCACTGTTAGAAAATGTAATAATTGCTCATCACTTCTAGTCAAAACAGCTGGAACTGTATCACATTGATCAATATGGAAATATCAGTTTAATACAATGATTCTGGCAGGTCATTAAAGTACAATCTCTTAGCAACAAACACACTAACAATACCAGAATATTAATGCTGGAAAAAGCTGTCAGAGCAAATAAAAATCATAATCAAGAATTATAATGGTAAAATTAGATATTTCTTAAACAAAAAAAATATCTTGCTTGTAAACATTATGTAAGAAGAAAAAATTGGTGATTGACTTAAAAATTAAACTCAGAGCAATAATGTTTTAAAATTTTAAAAATTGAAACATTGCAGTTAATATATATATATATATATATATATATATATATATATATATATGTATATATATATATATATTAGCTCAGATTAATAAAGACATTGTCAGTCAGATGAATAATTCACTTAAACAATTGTTTTATTGACTTTTGTAACATGTTATGAAAGCATGCAAACCTTATTAAGAGAAAATGTAGATTCAGTTCAGATATTCAGTTATGTACCATGTGTGATACATACTTAGGCAATCATGTATCTTTCGATACATGACTGATGAGGCAGATTTTTTCATGCAGTAGGCTGCCATTTCTTTCTATGGTAGACCAATTGCCATCCAAGGCTATAGAACCCAGTCTGTTCTGCTATTTACTCTTAGCTTAGGGGAGAAGAGGCTTAATACCTTTTCCAAGGGTGTTAGCATATAAGTGAATGTAATGGATTTGACTAGAACTCGAACTTCGCTCTCCGATTCCTCAATCCAAGCCACTACCCATTACTCTGCTGTGCCTCCCAGTTCAGATATTGCTTAATATTATTCTTAACAAAAGCTTGGAACATACATCTTGAGATGAAGATGTAATTAGCTATGAAGATACTCAAAATAATTTTGAGATTATGGGGTGGGAATTTAAAACACCTGATAACATAGGCTGATACTCCACATAGCATCTACTGAAGGTTATGATATGAATATGTGTTTTCATATTACTAAGCGTATGGTGGCACAACAAAGAAGAGAATAATGAAAATTTAAAGCAAAATACAATTGTATTAACATAAAATACAATAAATGACAAATCAGGATAGATGTCTTTCTATGAAAAAAAAAGAGATAAGTGGAGTTGTAAAGGCATCCATGAAGAATACAAAAGGAAGGGGAACATAAACTGTGATTTACTGGAGCAACACCATTGGATAGTTATAGATGGTCGAGTCAGATGTTTTTGGAAATAGCAGGTTGCTTTCTGATGAGCTTATGAACTCAAGTGAAGATGCTGTCCAACTGCTGAATGTCCCTTTGATGGGCTTTTATATCCTTTTTGAGGCTCAAATCAGCTCCAGTTTTCATTTTGTTTCTTTAGGTGGGAATGGGTGCCATTGGATAGAAATTCTGTATTGCTTTGTTTTTCTTTGAATATGTGAGTAAAAAATGGAAGATATGTATGGAGCCTTGCACAGCTGAATGATTTTTAGTTGAGTTTTGGGCATTCAGAGAATTCACACCCAGTTAGTGGTGAAAATTAGTGTAACAGGATTTAGATTTGATTTTGGGAAGAATGTAACATGAAGATATTCTACTCCCTACAAAATGTTCAGTCACAACTCAGTTATTGGCTAAAAACATTTCATTTTCCATGATTATTTATTAGAAACAAGGAATTGATTGTCAAATAAACACTAGAGGAGTGTTAGAATTATGAAATATATTTATTCTAGGTAACAAAAGAGTATTAAAAAGATATTATTTTAAACTTGAAATTCTTTACACCTTCTTCATTTTGCTTTTAGAACAATTACAGCTATATTCTTCTATATGTCTATTAAAATATTGTTTTACAGCCATTATAATTGAATATTTGTCTTGACCTTATGTCACTGTTTCTTTCAGGTTGATGAGCAACCTAAATTTGAGGCCAGCGTCTACTACTATTTTTATTTCGTGCTTTTCATCATTTTCGGATCCTTCTTCGTATTAAATCTTGTCATTGGCGTTATCATTGATAAGTTTAGCTTCCTCAAGAAAAAGGTGAGCATTCTTTTCAACTTCATATTTCATTTTAGTATCACATTTAGTATAACTTTTGTTTTGACATATAATCTCACCCATACAAATGAGGATGGAATATTTTTTTTCTTTTTATGATAACAATGGAATATCTCATAATTTGATATTATTTATCTTTCAGCTTTTAAGCTTGTAAAACTTTGAAATATATACTTGGTCTTTAAATTTAAATTTTTTCACTTCAAAAATGAATACTTTGATAACTATTTTGAACAAAGGCACCTGGAGTTATCTGAAGTTATTATGCAGTTTAAAGAAGGCATGCTGTTTTTTGCTATGAAATAATCAAGATTAATATGAAGTAAACTTAATTTAATCTGTTACAAGACCAAATGGAAGTAGGGAGATTGCATTGTGATAATTTATTAAGTGGGAAGAAAGGCTTGAAAATCAGCATTCAAGATCCTGACTTTTATCTGGGTTTGAACACTATATGCTGGCACTAGTGACATTGCATAACAATCCCCTACAAATAGTCCACGTGAAATAATCAATATTAATAACATTACTTACTATAACAATTTTTGTCATAATATATTTCATTATTTATATCAATAATTATTTTTAACAGTTAAAAGTATATGAGAAGAAAGATATTTACAAAATTCGCCAGGTAATTGAGAACAAATTATAATAAAAAATAAAGATATACAAAAGAATAAAAATCAGTATATTTTTAAAAAAAAATTAATTTGTTCAAATTAGAAAAACAGAAAAGGTTTCATTCAATAAAACTGTCCTCAGCTTCAAAAAAAAGGCTTCAATGTGGGCCTTTGGAGTGACTACATGCCCAGACCAGGCAGTTCTCATTCATCATGATGGGAGCCGTCAACAAGTACTTCATATTGTGGGGCTACTGGTTTATCTCCCTATCAGTGATGTTCCAAACATAGTAGACCAGGAGATTCAAAGTAGTATTGCTAGGAGACCACATTTGGGATGTGACATGATCATGAAAATTCTTGACCAGTCACTTTCAGGTTACATATATTGTGTGGGATGGAACAGAGTTCTGCTGGAACATATATGATAATCCACACAACCCAGGGTTTGACCAACATGTCTAGCACTTCAATGTAAATGGTAACATTGACACCAAGGCCTTGCAGGAAGAAGTGAGGTGGCATGAAATAGCCCTTATTACTCACAATGCTGAGAACCATCAGAAATGACATGAACTTGTACATCACTCTTTGGGGTTTGCTCAGAGATACACCTGATATTCTTCTATTTACCTGGCCACTTTCAAGATGTTCATTATTTCTAATTAGCTATGTTTGGCATCTAATGCCACCAGCATAGAATACCTTTTCATTTCCTGTGTCAGATTGGAAGCAGACATATTAATGCTCTCAATATATCAGGAAAAACATCAGAATGTTATAATTTGCCACAAGCTGCATAACATTACAATTTCTATATATGACCTGATAAAGGTGAGTTTTCAAATACCCAACACAGTCTGTATATATAATTATTTGCCATAAGAATTTGTTATGAGAAAGTAATTATGCATAAGTATCTATTGTAGCTAAAAGAATCTTTACCTGTCTTATTTTGCAAGTGACTAATATGAAATTTTATATCCAGATGCCTTAAAAAAAAGGAATTGATGATAGTCAGGATCATCAAATTGATGGAAACAATCCTTTCCTTGGCTGCATGTTATCTACTTCACCAGGACTACATACAGTTTTGAATTCAGAGTTTTTTCTTCTCTTAAACCAGTTGCCACTTAAGGCTATAGAACCCAGTGTGCCCTGCTATTTACCCATAGCTTTGAGAAGAGATGGATTCATACTTCCCAACAGTATTAGCACTTAAGTGAATGTAATGAACTTGACTGGAATTTGAACTCGGCTCTATGATTCCTCAATCCAAGCCACAATTTATTACCCCACCATGCCTCTCAACTCCACCATTTCTCCTTTATATATCAAGTTATTTTAAACCAAATGATATTAATTTTGAAATTAATTCGAAGATTCAAATCAATTTTTAATTGTATGCTTTTGCCTTGAAACATTTTTCATTTATAATTGACCTTGTGGAAAAGATATTAGTGTAGACTTATCAAAGAATATATAACACAAAACGCAGTTCTTTGTAAAAAAAAAACAATTTTGACATAATTAGTCAAATTTTACATGTTTTTAGTATTAACCTATTATATGATACAGAGCTCAAGAATAAAAATTCAAAGAATTAATCAAAAACTTTTCACTTTTGTTATCTCTTATAAATCCATGAATATCAGTAAGGTGAGATCTGAAATGGGAATAAAAAAAAGGGAGTGAGTCTTGGATTACAAAGTAAGGTATTGTGCTTACAAGAAGCAAAGTAAATAGTTTCCTTAACAAGGGGGTGGGGTAGAAGAGATGAATTCATAATAACAAATTCATCACAAGAGTGATTGCCTTAGTTATCTCAAAGGCCCTTGACAGGGTGTGACATAGGGGCTTCCTACCCAAACTCTCCAGCTATGGTATCTCTGGAAGATTCTTCACAATTATCAAGTCCTTCTTATCAGATCGGTCCACGAAAGTAAATTTAAATTTGAAGCCGTAGAAAAGCTATCATCAGAAGTAAAACTGATGGAGGTTACAGCATATCAAAAAGTCTATATTAACACATAAAGTAGTATTCAAGGATATGGGGTATTGTATTCATTAAATATTTTTCTATGGTCTTTATCTTTTGTTTTTATTTTTTAATCATTTCACCCCACTAGGACATAGGGGATTACAGGATGTGAAAGAGAATGAGAAGACTTTAGTGAGGAAAAATAAGGAAAAGGACAATAAAGGAACAGGATTCAGGAAGATAAAAGATGAAATATTTATTAAAGTCATACCTGGTAGATTTGTTTCTATATCATTAAAGCCAAATTTATGTTTGCTTTTTAGTAAATTGTTCACACAATACAAGGTCCAAGAGCCATTCAAGGTAGAGGATTACTAAGTGAGGTTGTTGCATTGATGTAAGAGGAAGAAGTAAGTGCAGATTATGAGGATATGAAAGGATAGATAGTGGTTGACCCTGGAATTGAGGAGGCTAAGACTAGTGTTCATGGAAGCATTTATCATTTATTTATCTATTATTATAAGTGTTGTTTAATGTTTATTTTTATGAACAGCAGGTGAACTGAACATTACTCTTGCACTTCTCCGGTTCATTGTTTATATTTAATATTAATCAGTTATGTGCCATACATGATACACAATTAGGCAATCATGTATCTTTCAATACATAACTGACAAGGCATATCTTTCCCACAGTTGGTTGCCATTTGTTTCTGTGATAGACCAGTTGCCATCCAAGGCTATATTTCAGCATGTAAGTGAATGTAATGGATTCAAATGGAATTTGAACTCGGCTCTCTGATTCCTCAATCCAAGCCACTATCCATTACTCCTATTTTAATATTAAATATAGATTTAATATATTTAATATAGATTACCTTAATATTTGGTTTATAAGTAGCTTTAAATTAAAACCATAAATCACTTTCACCATAAGAAATGCTCAGTCCACTCAAAAATATTCAATCAAGAAGGCATATCCAGGTCATGAATAAGCCTCCTTGTGCTCCTAATATGACTGGAAATTACATTAACCTTCTAAACCCCTACCTCACCTTCTGTCCTGGCCAATGTTCAGCTGAAGTGCTGCTCCCTTGGGTACTTCAATCCACTTACTGATCTATGTCAAAATTGATGCCAAATCAAAGACATCCTCCAATGTTCTATTTAATAGTACAATCTACCAATACACCAAAGCTGATGGTTAGTTTCAGATCTTAAATTATGGAAGTTTCTCTCTCACTATTCTTCAAAAATAGAGTTTCCAGAATAGTCTCCCTTATCTCCAAATGGATTCTATTTGGCAACGAAAATTTTATCACACACTAAAAGTATCAACAAAGGCCAAATAGCAAACTTTGATTCACATATGAATGCTGTGGCAATAGCTCACTGTAAATACTACTAACATCTCTATCTGTTGTGTCAGAAACCTACCACCCCTCTTGAAGATGAACTTGTCTGCAAACAAAGACGTTAAATAGTGGTATGTCAGAAGACAGAGGGACGGAACAGTTCTTAGCTGAGCTAGTTATAGACTACTCAGGCGATTTCTGTACCTAATTACCAACCTATTAAAACCCTTTTTATTGTTACGTGTTTTTTGGCATTTGTTTCTACTAACCCCAAATCAACATCATAACACTATCAAAGGAAACTGTGTAGTAGAACTCTTGCCACATTCAGAATTGCTCACAATCATTGCAAGAAAACCCTAGAAAAATGCAAACAGCAGCTATACACAAGCAAAGTTGAACACAAAAGACTTTGTCCCCGTGAGTTCTGAAAAATAACAAACAAGATTTTCAAGAGGAAGGCTGTCAGTGCCTTCTATTGTAAATCTTGACAAAACTGTTTAACAACTGCCTGAAAGATAAAGGTTTTCCAAGTTGATGGAATGTTTCAACTGCATGCCCTGTTTCTAAGACTGCAAGTGGATGCTCATTCCTGTCACAATATCACTCCATTGGACTCCTTAGTGTCATCAGCAAATTTTTATTCGATCATCAACAAGAAATTTGCTGATCACCTCAACAAAAACAACCTCCTCAGCAACAAAAAATAATGATTTTGCTCTTCTAGGTCCACTGCTGATGTCTTAACTGACATTATGCATGAAATCAGTGAAGCACTTGATAATAAATTCATCACAAGAGTGATTGCCTTAGTTATCTCAAAGGCCCTTGACAGAGTGTGACATAGGGGCTTCCTAACCAAACTCTCCAGCTATGGCATCTCTGGAAGATTCTTCACAATTATCAAGTCCTTCTTATCAGATCGGTCCACGAAGGTAAATGTTAACTTTGAAGCAGTAGAAAAGTTAACAAAATCATCAGAAGTAAAACTGATGGAGGTTACAGTAAATCAAAAAGTCTATACAGTGTAACCCGGATATAAGAGAGTTGTCGGGACCGGAGAAGAAGTCTCTTATATCTGGGTTTCTCTTATATCCGGGTTTGGTCTATTTTGTTTAGGTTAACACAGGCTCTAATTTGGGACCAGAGAAAATCTCTCTTATATCCGGGTTTCTCTTATATCCGGGTCTCTTATATCCGGGTTACACTGTATTAACACATAAAATAGTAATTTATTCAAGGATATGGGGTATTGTGTTCGTTGAATATTTTTCTATGGTCTTTATCTTTTGTTTTTATTTTTTAATCATTTCACCCCAAGCAAGGCAATAATACCACTAGGACATAGGGGAGTACATGAAGTGAAAGAGAATAAGAAGACTTTCATGAGGAGAAGTGAGGAAAGGGACAATAAAGGAACAGGATTCAAGAAGACAAAAGATGGCAATTGATGTTACATTTAAAATTTTAAGGATTGTAGTTGGCAGGGAAGCAAGAAATCAGAAGGGAGTTTCAAAGATGAGAAGCACAATAAAAGAAACTATCAGAATCAAACTGATGCTTGCATCTAGCTAGTTCAACACTAAAATGATAACACCTAGTTGCCAATCAAGTACTGGGTTTAAATTCATTGAAAATATTCATAGAAAAGACCGAGGGAAGCCACATCACATTGGTGAGAAAGTAACTGAAATTAAGATGCCATCTCAAGATTGATGACATTACAGACATTTCTTTGAATTTGTCAAGAATCTCAAAATATGTAGCAAGACCACCAAACCAGATATGGCAACAGGATTCAATGCATGGACAAATGGTAGATTTATATATGTGCAAAGATTCTGATGAGAAGAATTACCTGGCTCAACACAGTGAACCAACTTTCCTATCAGTAGACCTAGAAACTGATTCAGCTTCATATCAGTAGAAAACATGAGCTCAAGAAGGAGTAAAGTGTTACTCTCATAGAGTTTAGCATCAGCCATGCTGATGGCAGGCAGAAAAGGTTCTCTATGGTGATTAAACAAAACCAGTTTTGTTTTTGAGGCATTTAAATTTACAAGCCATTCTTTGCACCAGTTAACAACTTATTTGAGTTCCTTTTCAAGAACAGTTGCTAATTTTATCTTGTCAGATCTGTTGGACTTTCTATTAAGATGGGAGTAAATAGTTATGCTATCTGCATAGATACCTAGTTGGGAACTCATGACAGCAGGGTGGGTGTTGTCATTGATCAAGATCAGAAACAGGGTAGGTATGAAAATAGAGCTCTGGGGGACCCAGCATTAATATGAAATGAAATAAAAGTGCGTCCATTCAACACAACCTTCTAAATAAAAACTTTACCATAAGAATGAATATCAACATGCTTTAATGTTCTATGCTTATTTTTAATTCTTCATTTTTATGAATATCAAATTAAACAAAAAATTAAAAAATATCTGAAGTGTTTTTTTTTTTATTATTCACAGTATGATGGAACTTACTTGGATATGTTTCTCACACCCACTCAGCAAAACTACTACAACACTCTGAAGAAATTGGGAACCAAAAAACCCCAAAAAACAGTAAAGCGGCCAAAGGTTAGTAATAAAACAGTAAAATTTATTACCTAAAGCAGGTTAAATTTGTATGTTCCCTTTCAGCAGCTAAAGGATATTAAGTAACATTAATTGTTGCATATCAGTTACTTTTATATATATATATATATATATATATATATAGATAGATAGATAGATAGATAGATGTGTGTATATATATAATTATTTTTTATTATAAGAGATTAGAATAAAAACATGTTGAAATCACTACACAATAGCTTTCGTGTTTTGGCACCATTGTGCCGATTCAGGCAATGATAAGTAACTGTTGATCCAAAATCAACAGTTACTTATCATCAGCAGAACAGTGCTGAAACATGAAAGCTATTGTGTAGTGATTTCAACATGTTTTTATTCTAATCTCTTATAATAAAAATAATAATATATTGCTCTACTTTGTATTGAGCACTTTTTTAAAAAAATGAAATGCTACAAACAGTGGAATTTTACTCCACTTGTTCTCTCTCCCATTTGTATATATATATATATATATATATATATATATATATATATATAATAATAGAGAGAGAGAGAGATCATGTTAGGGGCACCACAGATACTGCAGGCACAGTAAAAGTGTTGTCTCTTGGGCAAGATATAGCCTAACGGAGCTGAACACTCTCCAAGCTGGTTTATATTCAGAGTTTTCCTTCTCCTAGACTGGTTGGCACCCAAGGCTATATAACCCAGTCTGTCCTGCTATTTATCCATAGTTGGAGGAGGGGGAGAAGAGATGGATTAATACCTTTCCCAATCTATTTACTAACTTATTTGGCTACTAAATATTACTCGAAAATAAATCATTAAGTTATGCTGAGAAGAAGAAATTAAAATAATAGAAATCAATTCAGAAAGATCAATATTTATGTACAGATAACAAAAAAATTCACTACTTTGCATAAAGAAATATGCAAGATTTTTCTTTTTAAAGCTCTTTGTATTTATAAAGTTATTAATTTGGAATGTTTTCATATACTCTGTTGCTTAATTGTACACAGGGTAGAGTTGTTGTTGGTGGTGGTATATTGACCTGCAAACAGATATTGAATGATGGAAGATATCAACAAACAGTGAGAAGACTTGAGTAAAAAAAATATATAGCCAAGTTTATTTTTGTTAGAGAAAATACATTGGTAAAAATAAGTTTACAGTGCACTAGACAAAAAAGTATCTCTGCATGTCCTAAGAAGGACAGTTTTGTAGTTGTTGAAAAGTGTTGTCCTAAAACAGACGGTTTTGTGGCCATTTGAGGATTGGTATCTCGAAAAGGATAGTTTTGTAGTCATTGAGGAGTGTTGTCCTGAAAAAGAGAGCTTTGTAGCTGCTGAAAATTGTTTCCCTGAAACAGACAGTTTTGTAATCATTGAAGAGTGTCGTCTTGAAAAAGATAGTTTATCATTGCTGCTGGTAAGAATGACTGGCTGGCTGGCTGGCTAGCTGGAGAAGTGGCTGATGATGATGATGACTGGAGCTGTGGGCTGGCTGGCTGGCTGGCTGGTTGGCTGGCTTGGAATAGCTCATAAAGCCTCTTGACACTCAGTGAAGAATTTGGACTGCTTCTGAGGTTTACAACACTCAACCCCAGAAATGGGAAGAGTGATGATAAGGCTAGGGAACTCATCTGTAATACTCCGCATCCTCAGCGAAAACTTCTGTAGTATAGGAAAACCAACAACAAGGCATGTTAGTAACTCACTACCACATGACACAGATGCTGGACACAGATGACTCTGCAGACCTTCACCTTGCATCCACCCCACAAGAGGGAGAAAAGCAAGTGCTCAATCGCCTTCCTATGGTCCTTGCAGAAAGAGAGTAATGACAATCAGTAAAGGATGAAGGAAAAGATGTACACTGTGCACATCCCCTGCCACACCCACTTTTGCCAGTATGTCTGACCAATTCTTCTCTAGCTGAAGATTCAGTCTGAACTACACTCCAAGAATGTGTATGAGACCATCAATCCAACTGAAGGGCCCCAGAAGAGCAACGCCCTTCCAAGCATCTAACCGCAAACCAGAAGACATGTTGCACTTAATCTTGTCCTCTGTGACCTTCTCATACTGTTCAAGCACCTTCTGTGCTATAAAAATGGATACGTCATCAGCCTATGTGGAAACTGAATGCTGCTTTTTGAGCTTTGAGACCGTTTTATATCCTGAATCAGTTTTACAACAATCGCTGAGTCTCAAAAGTTAAGCTTCCTCTTCCAGATGTTGTTTTTAAATGTGGGAGTGCTGACAGGATAAAGCACGGTTGCAACAATAAAACATACACTGAATATATATATCAACAGTTGTTTTGTATACTTTGTGGGGTCACTGAAGAATAGCCTTGTGTTCACAGGAATAAAAACATACAAGGAAATAAGACTAAAGGCATCTTAAATTATAAATTAAAATCATATAATTTTATTTATATTTGTCTACTGGTGTGTGCGCATTTTAGTTATATGTGTTTTAATGTTACATGTAATAGAGGAAGAAAGTCACTTCATCTTATGACAAGGTGCTGAGAAGAAGAGATGGATGTCTTGACCTTTTGAGAGCTCATAGCAACAAGATTGAGTTTGGCATTTTTTTGGTGCAAAGTATACGTTTTCAGGCAGGAAAATTTTCTGTTGCATGCTGGGAGAACTTTTGTTATTTTGGTTTTATTTATTTTATTTTAAACAAAGTTTTAATGTTATTTTTTATTTTATTTTACTTATACTTATTATTATTAAAATTTTATATTTTTATTTTTATTTATCAATAATAATGTCCCTACAACTTTATTGGCTCATGAGTCTTTTTTTTATGAACATCGATGGTATAATGCACAAAATAATTAAAAATATTCAGCCAATGTAACCAAGTACAACAAGGTACTGAAAAGAAGCTCTTGAAAAAATTCTGATCTTTCATCATTTGCTCTGATTTTGGAAATTGAGTTATGCCTAAAATTTTTCAGCATGCACTTTTATATATAATGTTCTCTTGGTACCAAGGTTTTTTTTTTCTACATTTTAGTGTTGATTTCTACAATTCCTTTTGCTTATAGAATATTAGTTGCAGATAATTTCCAAAATATATATAACAAAAATGAAATAGGCACATTAATTTTTATATATTTGTCACTCTTTTTTACAGAATAAATGCCAGGCTGTTGTCTATGACCTAGTCATGAGCAATCAGTTTGAGATCTTCATTACAACGATTATCATTACAAACATGATATTTATGGCTTTTGAACATTACAACCAATCAGAACTTGTCACTGAGGTTTTGGCCACTGCCAACATTGCGTTTACCATCTTATATGCTGTTGAAGCAATTATCAAGATTATTGGACTTCGTATCCATTACCTTCGAAATCTATGGAATGTTTTTGACTTCTTGGTTGTTACTCTGTCCATTATTGGTAAGTAAATAAAATACACCTTTAGGTAATATTTTTCTTCTACTTTTGTGTTTATTTGTTTGATCTATCAGTTTTTAAACTAGCCTTCTAATGTTAGTTTAAAAATTGAGCAAGATATGATTTCCATTTCTTACAAATCAACATAAACATATGTAAGTAATAAGATTTTATTTATTTTTATATAACCAAGTCAATTTCAAAAGAATCTATTAAGCTTACATTTAGTGATTTCTTTTTTCACATTGTTTCAACAAGCATTCTAAATACATTTGGGAATTGATTCAAATAATGTGTAAACAAAACTAAAATAATAAAAAATGTTTTAAATGTTAAATAAAATCTGTTCAAAATTTAAGTCAAACAATTGTTTTTAATGTGAAAAATTAGGAATGAGACTTACCAGAGGTCGAATTAAGCTATCCAAGATTATTTAGGAAAATATTTGAGCCTATCAAAATGTAGTTCATTTTAAATTTGTTTTTTACTTTGAATGAAAAGTACATATAATTAATAACTTTTTAAGGTTACAGACTTTTATTTTTTACTCCCTAGTTGATATTAATACTTATACTGTGAATGATAACAAATAAATCGGTACAAAGTAAACCCTGTTACCTATCCTTTTCTGTCCTTAATAATAGGAAATATCTCAACTTCCTGTTATTCAAATATGACATATTATGTATAAAATATATAAATGCTGAATGTATTAGGACTCTCTGCTTCAGTTAAGTACCATACATAATACACACATGGATGATCATGTCTCTTTCAATTATTGACTGACAAGGCAGAAGATTTTCCTACAGTAGGTTAGTGTTTCTTTCTGTGGAAGACTGGTTGCCAACCAAGGCTATAGGACCCATTCTGTCCTTCTATTCAACTTATAACTGGGGGGGAGAAGAGATGGATTCATACCTTCCACAAGGCTATTTGTGCATAAGTGAATGTAACCAACCTGACTGGAATTCTCAGTGTACAAAGCAAATAAAGCTGCAGACATGTTTTATAATCAAAAGTAAAAAGAATGACCTCTTTATATACCAAAGAATAAAAATAAAAATAATTTTTTTCTTTGGTTCTGTTGATAAAATTAAATCATTTTCATTAAGTCAGTGAAATATATGTCTGATAAATTGAACTTATGCTTGCAATATGCCCAATTTAATATTTGACAGATAAATTGAACTTCCACTTGAAATAGGCCCAATTTAATATATAACAGATAAATTGAACTTCTGTTTGCAATATGCCCAATTTAATATATGAAAGATAAATTGAACTTCTGCTTGAAATATGCCCAATTTAATATGTGTCAAATAAATTGAACTTCTGCTTGCCTAATTTAACATATGACAGATAGATTGAACTTCCACTTGAAATAGGCCCAATTTATTATATAACAGATAAATTGAACTTCTGCTTGGAATATGCCCAATTTAATGTGTGTCAATTAAATTGAACTTCTGCTTGCAATATGCCCAATTTAATATGTGCCAGATAAATTGAACTTTTGATTGCAATATGCCCAATTAAAAAAAGAAACTTTCTGTAATAAAATCTTAAAATATGCATCAGTGCAAAATTTATGATTTTAAGTTTAGAATTTATAATGGAAATAGAATATCACAACTATCAGATGTGTCAAGTCGAAAGTTATAATTACTAATACAGATAAATTTTCTTTAATTTTCAGATGCATTCTTGAATGATGTATTTGGAGCTGGAATGTTCATGAACCCCTCATTGCTACGAGTTGCCAGAATGTTTCGGATTGGACGTATAATTCGTCTTATCAAATGGGCCAAAGGGATGAGGAAGTTACTCTTTGCCCTCGTTATATCCCTACCGGCACTCTTCAACATCGGTGCTCTGCTTATGTTGGTCATGTTCATTTACACAATCATCGGAATGTCTTCCTTTGGACAAATTAAGCTGTCAGGTGCATTGAATGATCAAGTGAACTTCCAGACCTTTGGAAAAACATTTCTCCTCCTCGTTCGATTAGCCACATCAGCTGGATGGAACGACATCTTAGGACCACTTCTTATCCAGCCTCCTAACTGTGACCCGAATTACATCACAACGAGCACGGGAGAAAAAATAAAGGTAGTGAATGGTGACTGTGGCATGCCATGGCTTGCTATATCCTACATGGTTTCATATATCATTATCGTGTTCATGATTGTCTTCAACATGTACATTGCTGTCATTCTTGAAAACTTTAACCAGGCTCACGCACAGGAAGAAGTGGGAATCACCGAGGATGACTTAGACATGTTCTATGGGGTCTGGGAACAGTATGACCCCTTAGCAACACAATTCATCAAGCATGAACAGCTTTCAGATTTCATACAAGATCTTGATCCACCATTGAAGGTTAAAAAACCTAACAATGTTGCCATAGCCACATTCGATTTGCCAATTGTGAAAGGAGGTCATATACACTGTCTGGACATATTATTGGCCCTTGTCAAATTTGCCCTTGGGGGTAATTTGGAAGAAACTGAAGCCTTCAAACGAGTTCGCACTCAAATGGAGGCAAAATTTGATAAAATCTTCCCAACCAGAGAAAAATCAGAAATTCGAACTAGTACATTGCAAATGAGACGAGAGGAGATGGCAGCAAGGACTCTACAAAGGGCATGGAAGCGGCGGAAAATCATGCAGAGTTTTCCGTCTCCAGAAATGATTAGGTACTTCATCATTTCTGCGCCGGAAACCGCCGTATGAGGTCAACACATGATGAAATTCAGACATTTTGTTATTACTGAAAAAAAAAAAGAAAGAAAAGAGAAAAACGTTTTTCACATGTGTCTGCCAGTCCCCTTCCATGGCAAGCTGTTTTAAACATGCTACCTTGCGAAGCGACTCATTACCAACACATTAAAAAATCATATTTGAAATCGTTGAATATTCCAGGTTTTCCAATCAGGAATATATAAGAATGACAAACGACAAAAAAAAAAAATGTTATATCAAAGCAAACTGCAAAAGCAGACAATGCTGTTAAAGTATTCTGTGGTCAAAAGATTCCCTCTTTGCATATCAAAGAATCAGGAAAAGTGTTAAACCATTAAAAAATGAAAATGAGAGATTTAAACAATATACAAATTTATTAAAAGAATCTAAGAAAAAAAAACTTAAATCAAGTGAATCAGGAATAGTCTTCTGTAAGATATGATGGTACCTTTTCATGATGGTACCTTTTCATGATGGTACCTTTTCATGATGGTACCTTCACCTATTGATTTTTTGGCATGCTTGATAATCCTTGATATATCAAGAACCTGGTAGATTCTAGGGTGGATTTTAAAGTGGCATGGAAGGCTACCCATCAGTCTAATCAGAATAAATGGTAAGGCTAATGAGTGTTAAAAGGGTCTTAATATTTTAACTTATGCATGTGAACTTATATATATATATATATATATATATATATATATATATATATATATATATATATACATACAAGTGTCTGTACACATATACATATATATATGAATTTGTATGTAAATGTATAAATGCATAAGTTTAATCTTGATATGTATTGATACATATATATACCTTCATTTTATATTTCACATATATGTATGTCTTGCCTCTGTGTGTGTGTGCATATGTGCATATGTGTATATATATATATATATATATATATATATATATATATATATATATATATACATACATATATGTGTGTGTGTGTATGTGTGTGCATGTATATATGTGCTCGCAAGCATATTGGTAAAAATAAAAAGTACTGCCCTTTTAAAAATCTTCTTTTATCCATTACTAATAAATCTATTTCTAATACTAATCTTACTACTACTAAAGCTACAACTACTAATACTTCTAATAATAATAATAATACCTCTAACTTCTACTGTATTATTACTACTAATACTCTGCTATAAATCTTCTCTCACTTGAACACTCACACAATATAACAACTTTAAACAAGTAGTCTATATTTTTCATTTTATCTTCTAATTTCTAATATCTTTTTACTATTGAATTGTTTCGGAAAATGAACAACAACTAAATAATTCAAGTCTTTACTCTTCTGAAAAAAAATTAGTTTCTCTATGATTTAATGTTGAAAATTTTAAAAGTAGAAAAATGTTACTTTTAAAAAATAAAATTTCTCTAGCTCTATTCCTTATTGTAAAAAAAGTATTTTTCAAAAAACAAAAAAGAAAAAAATATGATTCATTTGAAAAAAAATAAATGTGAAGAGAAAAATGCAAAAGCCAAGAATTTAATTTATTAAGTTGTTTAGTTCCTCTTCCTTAGCTTTTTACCAATTTTTTAGGATGATGTCTTCAAATTCTACACGTATTTCATTTTGGAAAAAGAAAAACTATTTAGTTTTGTGGTTGGTTAATAAAAATAGTTTTCATTTTATGATTAAGAAATGAAAAACAAAATCTTTTATTGATTTAAAAACTGGTAAAAATCAAAGTGAAAAATGTCTGATGGTGAACCGTGAGATCCCCCCCTTCTCTTCCTAAACACCCACCTACCCCACCTCCTACAACCACCACATGAGCTTTCCTTTGCGGTAATGATGGCAGCAGAATTACAACCAACAACAAAGAAATGCTGTTCTTTCTTCTCTGTGATGGTTCTTTTTAACTAACAACAACAACAACACTAGCAACAGTTTCCAAAAATTGTCTTAAAAAAATGAATAAAAAAAAAAACATTTCAAATAACATAATAACTAAAAACAAAATAATCCCTTTCTCCTCCCCACCCACATAATACTGTTATTATGTTCTTTGTTTTCTGTTTTGTTTTTTTTTTCAATTAATGGAAATAAGGAAAAAAAAACATTAAAAAAACATTTAAAAGAACTAAAATAAATAAACTAAGCACTATCCAGGTGTAACGACCTTTGGTCTGCAACTTGTCTCACTTTGTGATTGATTTTAGTGACTTGTTGTTGATAATTTTTGGAATGCAAAGACAGTCAACACCTGGAAGACAACCACCTACCAACAACTACAAAAATCAAAAATGCTCTTGTTTGATTATTACGTGTGTAATATTAAACCTTATGTATAAATGTAGATACTTTTGCACATGAGCATGAGACATCAGCTTTCTCTGAATCTTATAGTTGTGTCTGAATTTTTACATCCTGAACCCAAGAACAAAAAAACACCCATTTGCTCACTATGCCACTTCTTGCATTACCAACCAGAATGGGTTATCATGTATAAAATTACATGAATATTCTTCTGGGCTCTATCATAAGGCAATGAATATTCTTGCTTCATTCATCAGCAAAGAAGAGCTTTCATATAATTGTCAATATGATTAACCGCATCCTACAACTATAACATATGAATTAGCTTTTTTTTCTTTTGAATTAGAGAAAAAGAAAGTAAAAAAAAAAAAAAATGAATAAATTTTTCCTTTCTCAAATATTTAATTATTTAAAAAAATTCCTACATTTTACATCTTTTCTTCTTTTAAGCAGCGAAAAATCTTGGTGACTATAATTAGCAAACACTCACAATTTTTAACAGCCTAAGCTATTTCTAATTAATAACTATCCACATATTTTCCTCTTAATTCACACATAAAACACACTATGTGTAAAAAATCCTCTAAATTAAAAAAAAAATTATGATTAAAGAAATATGATTTCTTTTTCCATATTTATCTGTTTATCAAGGAGATATATATATGTATAAACACACATGTATGTATGTATATTGCATACATATATGCATAGATATAAACATATCAAGTTAACATATTTATATATACATATATATTTATTTATAGATCTATTATGTACGTATATGTTTATCTATGTGAACATCAAGGCATATATGTGTGCAATATATATATATATATATATATATATATATATATATATATATATATATATATATATATGTGTATATATATATAAATATATATATATATATATATATATATATATATATATATATATATATATACAGACACACATATATATACATACATTATATATATATATATATATATATATATATATATATATATATATATATATATATATAAAATATACATCTGTGTATATCCATGAAACATCAATATGATACACATATATGTATCACATAAACATATATGTATGCATATATATATTTGTATAATACAAAACCTATCAAATTCTATTTCCATTTTATTATTTGGCATTTCTAATTTCGTCCGATAGTTCTTCGGTTTGCTGCTCCCTAGCATCCAAACAGCTGACCTTGAACTACAGAAGAATGCTCAACCAAAAAGAGAGACCAAGAGAAAGAGTAAAAAAAAAAAAAAAAAAAAATAAAAAATAAAGTCTTTAAAATATTTTCTTAGCTTTTCATGATGCAAAAAAACTATATGAAAGCAGACAAAAAAAAAAACCCCCAAAAAAGAACGGAGAAATCTGCCACATGCTCACTCATTATAATTATATACTCTGGTCCCTTCTCTCTATTATTACTATTATTATACACATCTATTGCTCACCTTTTAGCTTTTCTTTCTGTATTTCTTTCTTTCTTCCCTTTTTATTAAAAGAAGAGAGGAAACGGTTAAAATTCTTTGGGTTCTGGCTAATAATGTAAATGTGGCACAGTAGAGAGATCGACTTACCAACCAACCTATCTATGAGACTTACAGAGATTCTATGGATTAATGCTGTTTCTTAATATAACATCGTTATATGAACCTTGTCTTCTTTCTTTCTTTTTCTTTGTAACTTCAAGCTTCAATGATTTGCATTACTTTTGAAATGTTTTCTTGAAAATGGTGCTTTCTTTGTTATGTTTTTATTTCAGCATTCATCAGATAATCTTGATCTGCTACTACAGTTTCCAAAACTATTCCTATCTGAAAGCTGCAGAACAATGTCTAGTTTGTCGGCAACTGCTTAAGTCAACAATTAAGTCATTATAGAAGATTTAATGTCAATGGTAACAGGGCAAACAATAACTATGTAGTACTAAATAAGAACTAAACAATACATCCTGAGATATGGTCAGTGGAACAAAAACAATCTGCCATGTACATTAAATAAAAGGTTCAGTTTGAAATTACCTGAATGCTGCTTGGTTCAAGAAACACCTGGTGTAGGCTGGAAGTCACAACACTTGAAATATTGTGATACTGACAACAACATGGACAATAGTCCAATTGTAACTAACAAAAATAATAATTTGCTCTTATTTGCCTATAACCTACTATGTAAGTTCATCAATAAGTTTGTAGTTTAATAATGAAAAAAGCATTTATTTTTACACAAATATTTATTTTTCAACATAGACTCATTCTTTGCTATGCACTTAATCCCACGCATCTCCAATAACCACATAGATTAATCATTAGACATTGATATTTTCAAATCACAACTTAGCTAATAACTACCAAGCTGTGGGGGTTTTGACAAATTTTAGAACTGCTTTCTCTTCTGGTCTAAGGCTAACTTCCCAGTAGGGGAAAAAACTGGCTGGTTAAATTCAATGCCTCTAAAAACCAAACTGGTTACATTCCATCACCACTTGTCAGCCCCCAAACTAACACCAGTCATGATGAACAGATGTTCCCTTGAGAAGGCCCCATACCTTGAGAGGATATTGGACCTGAAATTAAGTGGAACTCCTATATACAATCCATCACTAAAGATGCAGGTAAAATGATCAGCTCCCTGTACCTGACTCCTCATGCTATCCCCTACCTTTATAAGAGCCAAATCAGGCCAAAAATGGAGTACTGTTGCCATATTTGGAAGGAAGCTGCCCAGACCTCACTTTCCAGTTTTGATTTTGAGTTCAAAAGTGGCTCCAAGTCCTTGCTGGAGAAGAATTATTTTCCACCCTCCAACCTCTATCTCACAGGCGGGATGTCACATGTTTCTCACTACTCTATCACTGCAACCATGGAAAGTACTAGGCTGAAGTGCACTTCTTGGTTCCACTAGGTCTGACATTCCTGGCTAGGACTTGCCATGCTACTTATATAGTAGCAAACAACCCACATTCCTTCCATATTCCATCGGCAAGAAGTTCCACTCAAACAACTTCTTCCCGCAAACCACTTCCCGATGGAACAGACTCCCAAGAAGACCCCCGATCACTATGATCATAACCTGTTCAAGTTTAAATAAAATCAACTGTTATCTTCTCCTCCTATCCATATAAACTACCCTTTAACATAACCCCCTACCTTGAGTGACCCTTGAGCTTTGTACAGGGTCAACCTTACTGTAAAAAATGAAAAATTACAATCATATACCATTTGTATTCTATCTACACTTCTTTTATGTGCTGTAATAGTGATGTCAATGGAATAATCATCGTTTTGATGCACTGTTTTTTAAGCATGAATGTTAAACATTGCAGGTTCCATTTTTAAACACCTATGTTTGGGAAAGAATGAGAGAAAAGATTGTTGCGTGTTCAAATAAAATGATGATATTTATTTAAATGTAATATACACAAATTTTAATGGTAATTACTTAACATGAAATGAAAGTTAAAAAGTTCTTCTCTTTGACTGTAAGGAAATGAACAGGAATAGTCTTTCAGTGAGGAAGAGAGAAAGTGAATTTAAGAGGCAAGACCAAATGAGAAAGACAAGACCCCAAGATTGACTTGTAGCTCTTTACTGCTGTTAGTCCTTCAGTCGAGCTGAATGAATGTTTTTTATGGTCTTGTATAGGCTTCAAAGGCCTGTGTTTATTTACTGGTGGGAGCTGATTTTATTGGCTATTTATTTTTAATAAATTGAAAATTTGAAGTATGTTTGAAACCGTGAAGGTTGCGCAGAGCCCTTGCATGGTGGGTTTAATTTTGTCATTTGCTTCTTTAATTTGTTGTTCACTTCCACCTACTCTACACCTACATAAGACAAATTTTGCATTCATAGCAAAATTAGATAAATAGGTGTGTGTGTTTGTTTTTACCATTATGGTATTGGAAAGAATGCAATACTTGATCTTTTAACATAAATATTAGGAGATAAAATTACTTTTCGCATACATCATTAAACTGAAAAGCATAAATACAGTACCAGAATCCAAAATATATATTAAAAGTCAAAAGTGAACAGATATTTATTTATTATACCTGTAAATTTTACAAGAGTTATTACAATAGTGGATTAATAAGTATGTAGCTTGACACAGTTATTAGCTTGATCTGACATTGATCTGATATTTTCACTGAATAATGTCCAGGCTATGTGATTGATATTCATCGTTGACAAAGAAAGAAATAATGTTGAAAATAAATATTCACTGTGCAAAATAAATGCTCTTTCAATTATTAGGCTGTGAGTTTATTGTGGTTACCTACATGTGATATGCTAGTTTTTACAGAATGAGTTTATCTACAATTATGCATGAAACAAAAGACAAGATTTTACTAGAATTATTTAAAACTAGCCCAGTACCTATAAAAATGATGGGATTATTTATATATGGACTGTCACTTCAACTTAACATTAAAATATCAGTGTGTTCTGCCTATTACTTGTCAACATTACTGTCTTGGATTAGTGTATCATCTGCACACTCTATAAAATACACATACACACGCGTGTGTGTGTGTGTGTGTGTGTGTGTGTGTGTGTGTGTGTGTGTGTGTGTGTGTGTGTGTGTGT